GAATGAAATAAAATATCTGCCTCCATAAATATATAAAGAGACTCTAAGGATGCGCAGGATGTTTTATATAATGGGAATATAATTTCTAAATGATTCCTAGATTGTAAGCTCCAAGGAGCAGGGCACTCGATCCCCTCATGTTTTGCATTGTATTGGTATTGTTCTGTCACATGTTCTGTCCCCCTTTGTAATGTACAGCGCTGAGCGAACTATCGGCACTTTATAAATACTGTATAATAATAATAAATGACGAATGGTAATAGAAAAAGATGTGCCCCTTTAGGCCTCCAGTGTGTGCTCTTGCATGTAATTCTTGCCATGAGTCCTCATGCACACGGGACGTTTTTTTACAGCGGCTGTTTTGGCTTTTGACATTGTATTTTCTACAGCCAGTAAACCCCCCAGCATGTTATCCTAGGTGTCCATAATTATTATTATTATTATACAGGATTTATATGGCGCCAACAGTTTGCCCAGCACTTTACAGTATAACAGGAGACAATACAGATCAATACAAGAGGGATAGGAGCTCCCTGATCCTGGGAGCTTACAATCTAGGAGATTGTACATGCGCACACAGACTGGAATCAACATTTTTTGACGGGGGCATTTTTTGGCTGGGAGAAAAACCTAGGACTAGCGGGTTTCTAGAGGATTTTTTTTAGGTGTAAAAATGCTCTACCGCTGTAAAATGCCACAAACTGGCGTTTTTGGATGTTTTTTGACCAAAAAAATGGTTTGGTTTTTTTGGGTCAAAAAAAGCTAATAAACGCTAATGCAAAAACACTACAAAATCTGAAAAAAAAATCACGTTTTTTACGTGACTTTACACAGCTAACGCTACCAGCCTTATTAAAGCGCCCCGCGTGCGTGGAGCCTATTAATGGATAATTGATCACTACCATAGATATTCCAGTGTGTTTCCAACCGTTCCTATAGTCAGCGCCCGCGGAGAGAGCCAACCCAGGCCCCCTCCTATGTCCACGATCACTTTTTGTGGTGTACAAGCAGCCAGGTTTGCCGCCCCGTCATTCCACTCATAAATTTCATCTGTTTTCACAATGCTTTTACCTTCACCATGCAAGGAAATATACGGATACATTTATTTACTTACTGTATACTTTTTTTTGTGTGTATTTACTCCTTTTCAGTTTGAAACCTGATTGCAGCGAGTCCATTTTAGATTTATTTCAAGCGTTTTTGTGCATTACATGCAGAACATTGATTTGCATAATGTTTGCCTCTCCTCTTTCCGCACAGTCTCTCCAGCATTGTCTGGAACAGGGGCGGACTGACAATTCATGAGGCCCCTGGGCAATAGGGGATCATGGGGCCCTTTGTGTCCTTGCCCACACTCAAAGCACACCCAAAAAAGCCTATAAAAAGGTACCAGGGGCATTTCATGGGGCCCCCTACTGACCCCGGGCCCTCGGACAGTGCCCGAGTGCTCGAATGGTCAGTCCGCCCCGGTCTGGAAATAAAGCCGACACTTCTCACGAGTCCGTGCATCCTCTTTATCAAGGTTTAGTGTGAATTTTGGAGAGGGGTTTTCCATGCATAACGGAGAAGCTGTATTCAACTTCTTGATGGCTTTTAGTTGTAGAAAATCAAACAAATTCATATAGAGAAAAACAAAACAGAGGGCGCACCGGCCTTGTGCATGACCTTTAAAAATATGTTTATTAACCCCTTCATGCCGGTGCCTCCTGGGCCCTTTAAGAGTTTCGGGGGGCTGGGTTTAGGGTCATGTGACTGCCGTGACATGCCATCACAGCGGTCACATGATCGGGAAAGGTCCCGATCGAAAGAGGAGATTGGGACCTTTCCGTGAGTACCGGACATGTGTGCTGGGAGCGTGCAGGGTGCGCGCTCTCGGCACATATGTCCTTTTTTAATAGAACGCAAATGTGCGGCCGCTTGGCGTCGATATCCACCAGGCTGTTTCCACTGAGGGAGATGTAGACTCACATCACCATAAGACAGTTGGACTCTTTTACACCAGCTTCCCCCTGGCTCTTTCCAGTGTGAGATCCCTCCTGAACCTTCCTCCAAAAACTGATCCCTGGACACGGATCTGCGAATAGACCCCCAGGTAAGCCTAGCTGGGACCTCTGTGTCTTCCTCAAAGATTTTGCACCAGGGGATCTACTCCTGCAGGACTGAACCCAGGAACACTGCACTTTGCACTAGGGGGTCTACTTCTGCAGGACTGAACCCAGGAACACTGCACTTTGCACCAGGGGGTCTACTCCTGCAGGACTGAACCCAGGAACACTGCACTTTGCACCAGGGGGTCTACTCCTGCAGGACTGAACCCAGCTCCAAAACGTGATCCCTGGACACGGATCTGCGAATAGGCCCCCAGGAAAGCCTAGCTGGGACCTCCGAGTCTTCCTCAATGCTTTCTCAAGGATTTTGCACAAGGGGGTTTACTCCTGCAGGACTGAACCCAGGAACACTGCACTTTGCACCAGGGGGGTCTACTCCTGCAGGACTGAACCCAGGAACACTGCACTTTGCACCAGGGGGGTCTACTCCTGCAGGACTGAACCCAAGAACACTGCACTTTGCACCAGGGGGTCTACTCCTGCAGACCTGAACCCAGGAACACTGCACTTTGCACCAGGGGGTCTACTCCTGCAGGCCTGAACCCAGGAACACTGCACTTTGTCACCCAGGCCTCAGAGTATTCATGGGCTCTCTCTCTCCACCTTCTAGGCACACCTCCCCAGGGATTGGCTGGAGTTCCATAAATATTTAGGCTGCCTGTTCTGTTCTCCCTCCCAATATACTTCTGGAATTCTCTATAATACGGGAAAGTAACAGAACAGCAGCCTGAGCAGCCCTAAGCAATCAACCCCCGCTCCACTGATTACAATCGAGCTAAACTAAATGTACCTAGCAGCCTACTCTTTACTAGGAGGTGCTATAGGAGTACGGGAGATCCTTGGATGCCCCCCCCCCTTTCCCCAAACACATTGGCTGTTTATATTGTGGTAAACGAACACGAATATTAAAAAAAAGTTGACTCCTAGTTCATTGGTATGGAACTCTTATTGGACTTTCACAAAAGTCTGTATTCCTGAAAAAAGATTTTTTTTTTTTTTCTTATTTGCTGTCTGTGTCCCAATTAGATTTTCCCTCATTTTACTGTCCAAAAAAAAACACAACAAAATTAGAGATGAAATCTCCCCAAAATGAGGAGTAAATTTTGTCTTTAATCATTGTCACCAGAAGAGCACTTTTGGGAGATTTCCTCTCTACTGCTGTTCTTGTGACAACTGTAAAATGAAACGTCCCCTTGCTTTCTGCTCCATTGACCACACTTGCCAGGACAAGCGGTGAGAGCGAATCTATGGAATCAGGAGGCAGACTGCAATATAAAAAAAGTTTGAGCCAAGAGCATGCCTCTCCAGACTTGAGGTGCTTCGTGTTAGCTGCTAATTGTACCCCATATGTGCACTGCAAACCCATGCAGCTAGCTAAGGCCGTCTCCTGGGCTGCACTGGTCTTGATGTCACTTGGCTAATTTCCCTTCTATGTGAAAGGCCATCTGATAGAACTAACGGGGGCGCGGAGGAAAGACGGAGGCCAGACAATTATTTGACTTTGCTCTGCACATGAGCAAAGCAAACTGGACTGGTTCTGAGGAACAGTCATACAACAGTCATACAACTGCACTCCAGGGTTTTGGAAGAGACTGTGCTGGAACGATCGATGAGGTTACAGAAAGCAGACTGGACATGTTCTCATGGTATGATCGTGATGGACCCATTAAAAATAACAAATGATGTACAAGAGGCATGATATTGTAGTAAGGGCATTGTGAAAACTTTGTATTTGTAACATTTTTCAATTTTATAATTTTTTTTTTTAAGCTGCCTTCATATTGCCCTGGTTGGTCCTCCAACTCCAGTCCCATAGCGGGATAGTTGTCCTGCTAATGTTACGACACATGTATTAGCTGGTCCATAGATCTGTTCTATCTATCTATCTATCTATCTATCCCATATCTATCTATCTATCCCATATCTATCTATCTATCTATCTATCTATCCATCCCATATCTATCTATCTATCTATCTATCTATCTATCTATCTATCTATCTATCTATCCCATATCTATCTATCTATCTATCTATCCATCCCATATCTATCTATCTATCTATCTATCTATCTCTCGATCTATCTATCTATCCCATATCGATCGATCGATATATCTATCTATCCCATCTCTCTCTCTCTCTCTCTCGCTCTATCCATCCCATATCTATCTATCCATCCCATATCTATCTCTCTCTGTCGGTCTGGCTATCTATCTATCTATCTATCTATCTATCTATCCCATATCTATCTGTCTATCTATCCCATATCTATCTATCCCATATCTATCGATCGATCAATATATCTATCTATCCCATCTCTCTCTCTCTCTCTCTCTCTCTCTCTCTCTCTCTCTCTCTCTCTCCATCCCATATCTATCTCTGTCTGTCTGGCTATCTATCTATCTGTCTATCTATCTATCCCATATCTCTCTCTCTCTCTCTCTCTCTCTCTCTCTCTCTCTCTCTCTCTCTCTCCCCCCCATATCTATCTATCCACCCCCCCTCTCTCTCTCTCTATCCATCCCATCTCTCTCTCTCTCTCCATCCCATATCTATCTATCCATCCCATATCTCTCTCTCTCTCTCTCTCTCTCTCTCTCTCTCTCTCTCTCTCTCTCTCACATCTATCCCCCCTCTCTCTCTCTCTCTCTCTCTCTCTCTCTCTCTCTCTCTCATCTACCCCCCCCCCCCCCTCTCTCTCTCTCTCTCTCTCTCCCCCCATATATATCTATCTATCTCTGAGGAGGTGCTGAAATTTCACTAGCAGATGGAGTTAGATGAGCTTTCTTTAGTTGCCGTTGTTAGTTTTTGTGCACAGTAGTTCTTTATAAATGTTATATTGCTTCTTTTGAGTGCTTATTTCTTTCTCTTTTTTTTCCCCCTAACACCCTAAAGGGAGCAGTAACAGCAGCAACTATTTTGCTAGCAAGTCCTCCGACACTTCCAAGAAGGGTCACAAACGCCAGGAAGCTACAGAATCTGCTTCCTTCCCCAAAGCTGCTGGAGACTCTATATGGACTATTATAGAGCGTACACCTACCCCTATCATGATGACATATCAGGTACCCGAGAGGTGAGTCCACAAAGGTTTGTCTGATTTTTAAGTGCTGTCCTAATGTAGAACTGTGTCCAGGCTATTGGACACTTAAATGTTTACATTATTATTATTATACAGGATTTATATAGCGCCAACAGTTAGCGCAGCGCTGTACAATATACAGGGAGACAATACAGCAACAATACATTTCAGTACAGAAGGAATCGTGGAGCTTACAATCTAAAGGAAGGGGGAGGGGATACAAAAGGTGATAGCTGCGGGGGATGATCTGGCGGAAGTGATTCAAGTACAGTTTTTAGGTGGAGGTGGGATAGGCTTCCCTGAAGAAGTGAGTTTTGAAAGACTCAGTTTTAACTAGCTGTAAATAAGTTTTAAAACAACCCTTTACTGACCTCTTTAGCTTCAAGCACTGAGGAGTAATTTGTTCTCAATATTAGAGCAAAACCACCTCTAGCTCTCCAGCTCTAAACAGAATTCTATGTAGTTATTTGCTAAAGTCTACTTGTAAAGCAATCTTGTCAGGAAATAAAATTAGCCACAAAACTGTCCTTGCAAGAGAAGAGAGTAAAAACTCCCCTCTCAATGCTGCTGATGTGCTCTGAAGTCTGCTGAGAGTAAGACGCATATGGTGGTACCCCATGGCGCTCAAATTCCTCATCAGACACTGAAAACGATTCTGCGACTTTGCTCAGCGATGTGCGAATTTGGCGCTCTATTTCACATTTCAGTGTTTTTGGTTTGATTATATTATTGAATTAAATTTATTATATTATTATTTTTTTAGGATTATTTATTAAATTATATTTTATGATTTCGTGTTTCAAATTTTATCATCCCCGGGATGTTTACTAGACTCTTGTTCGGACAGATTTCAGTGAGTTATTCCTAAAAATTACAGGCCTACAATAAAAAAAATACATATTTCCATGCAAAAAAATGTACCGCTTTGAGCACGAAAATACTGACATAATCAGACCCCGCCCCGCCTCCCGGCTTCTGAAACCCTTAGAGGGCCGGGAGGTGCCGGCACCAAGGGGTTAACAGGGAACAGGCGGAAGGGCCCGGCGTGCGTTCCTGAGAGCTTTTTGGTAAACTAGCGGTAATCTAGAATGAATTTCATTTGATGATCTTTTATAACAGTGTGACTGCTGATTTTTATGTTAAAACAAATTGTAGTGAGCGCTCTTAGATACATGCAGCAGCTTGCACTCTAGGTAACCACAATACCTTTAAAATATGTATATATAAATGTAAATAATAACAGTGCAGCGCTCAAAATGAATTTAAAGGTAATATGAAGTCAATGCGATATCCGCGGTGCTGTCTGGATTTGATGAAAACTTCCAGAATTTTACTGCTTCAAATAATAGCAATGCGCACTAACCAGAAACGCATGGATTACGCGCATGTAGGAATATTCATTCCAGATGTCAGATCCATCGAAGACCAGGAGGTGGGCATCCTTCTCACGGTGGGTCATCAAGGACTCCACATCAGGTCCAGAGGTCCCCCTTAAGGTCAGTCAGGTAATCCACACTGATGGTAATGATCCCTCCTCTGGATGGTATAGGCACCTTTTCTGTGGGGGTAATAGCTCCACATAGGAGCCCCAGAAAACAGGTGCCAGAGATAGTGTAGTATGTTCTTGAATACATTTTATTGGTCAATAACAGAACAGGTTAGTATGCATATCACAAAATTGATTGAAAGTGAAAAACAGCAGTACTGACCCCAATAAAGATGGCCGCCGGGCCTCCTCGTGGCTCCGGCGGTGAAATGACGTCACGCTCTGCACAGCTCCTCAGGAGGACGGATCATTACCATCAGTGTGGATTACCTGACTGACCTTAAGGGGGACCTCTGGACCTGATGTGGAGTCCTTGATGACCCACCGTGAGAAGGATGCCCACCACCTGGTCTTCGATGGATCTGACATCTGGAATGATTATTCCTACATGCGCATAATCCATGCGTTTCTGGTGAGTGCGCATTGCTATTATTTGAAGCAGTAAAATTCTGGAAGTTTTCATCAAATCCAGACAGCACCGCGGATATCGCATTGACTTCATATTACCTTTAAATTCATTTTGAGCGCTGCACTGTTATTATTTTTATGATGGTTTGTGTGTTTTTTTTTTATTTTTGCTTTCACACATTATATATATTTTCCTGATTCGATTGTATGAATTACGGGTGCCTTGCTGCTCTGCCGTAATGGTCTCCTCGGTTGGCTCTTTTTCGGCATCAGGCACCTAGACCCTTCTCCTTATATTATTCCTGGAATCTTGTTGTTCCTTTTGCAGGGATAAGGACACCTTGTTGAAAGAAGATCTGGAAAAGCTAACGGCTATGCGCAGCAAGCAGCCCTGGTTCACAGAGGAACAAAAGGAGGAGCTGGCGGAAGTGCATTCTTGGATCCGAAACCGCACGATCCCGCAAGAGATCGACACCCAGGTACGGAAACGCAGCATCTGCCTGGTCAGGGTTCACCAACTTTTAAAGCGGTATTCAACCCAAAAGCAAACTTTTATTCTACTGCGGCTTACCAATTCTTACATGTGGTGGCTAGTGGTGGTTAGTTTCCTTTTTTTTTTTTTCCTTTCGTCTCTTCAATAAATTTTTTTATTAAAAGTTTTTTTTGCAGTTTTACAAGAATGGACTACAAAAACATCGCGAGATTGCAGAAAGATGGGTTGTAACCGCCCCTATACTGGCATCAAAAATATTATTTTTATTATACAGGACTTATATAGCGCCGACAGTTTGCTCAGCGCTTTACATGGAGGGAGACAATACAGTAACAATACAGTTCAATACAAGAGGGATTAGAGGGCCCTGATCCTCGGAGCTTACAATCTAGGAGGGAGGGTATAGTGGTACAAGAGGAAATTATCTGTGGGGGATGGACTGGTAGGAAGAGTAGAGGATTTACAGTATTAGCTGGGGTCGGGGTAGGCTTCCCTGAAGAGAGAGGTTATCAGTGATCGCCTAAAAGTGAGCAGAGTAGGCGATAGCCTGATAGATTGGGGTAGGGAGTTCCAGAGGATGGGGGAGGCTCTGGAGAAGTCCTGGAGACGAGCATGGGAGGAGGAGACAAGGGAGCTAGAGAGTAGGAGGTCTTGCGAGGAGCAGAGAGTACGGTTTGGGTGATATTTAGAGACAAGATTGGTGATGTAATTTAAGGCAGAGTTATGAACGGCTTTATACGTTATTGTTCGTGTTCAGTGGAGGGATTGGCAGAGAGGGGTGGAGGACACTGAGTGGAGGCCAGTGGAGGGATTGGCAGAGAGGAATGGAGGACACTGAGTGGAGGCCAGTGGAGGGATTGGCAGAGAGGGATGGAGGACACTGAATGGAGGCCAGTGGAGGGATTAGCAGAGAGGGGTGGAGGACACTGAGTGGAGGCCAGTGGAGGGATTGGCAGAGAGGGGTAGAGGACACTGAATGGAGGCCAGTGGAGGGATTGGCAGAGAGGGGTGGAGGACACTGAGTGGAGGCCAGTGGAGGGATTGGCAGAGAGGGGTGGCAGATACAGAGCGGTTAGTAAGGTGAATGAGTCTGGCAGCAGCATTCATGATGGACTGGAGTCACGGAAACCAACAAAATTGCAATAGTCCATAAGCGGAGGAGTCGCGTGGCTTTCTTTTTTTTTTTTTTTTTTTTTTTTTTCTTTTCATCTGGTGATCCAGCAAGCAAGTCTGTTCAATGGCGCAAGCTCTCCAGCAGAATGTATCCGTTTACATGGATGAGACAAACCATTTAACACTGACGGATGTATAAATGATCAGCTTTTTTTTTTATTCCTGTAAAACCTTTATCCCAAAAGGAAGGAAAAAACCTGTTTGCTGTAACTGCATATAAAGTGTGAGCTGGAATTTAGCTTCAGTTTTAGTGCGTTTTAAATCTGCTAATACGTTTAACGCTCCCCTCCCCCCAGACTGCCAATGCTGCTGCCAAAATATGCCCCCTGTGCTCCTTCATCCAGAGTGAGGACACTCTAATACAGGAGGTGTGTTACTAGCCTGATCACCAGGTGAACACAGAGGGGAAAAGCCAAAGAAAAGAAAACTAATGCAGACACCACATCTAGTGATTGGTAAGCTGCAATATAATGCATTTTTGGTTTTAGGTTTAATACCGCTTTAATACTTTTAGAAAGGACTACTATAATTACTCCAGTCACAATAGGGGATTGTGTCCAAAAACGAGGAAAATGTGTTTGCTGCCAGTAATGACCACTTTCCAGCTGTCCCTTTTTCTTGCAAGGCTGAGAAAATGATTGGCGGGGCAACACCGCTGCCTCTGGTTTGCTGCATGATTTTTTTGAAAGTCCCATAGCAAACTGTTCATCTAAATCCCAGTGTTTTCACGTATGAATTAATAAGAGCAGCGCTAATCGTATGAATAGTCCTCGATATATAATACGGAACACATGTATATGATATAAGTTCGTAAAGGGTATAAAGAGCTCCGTGTGACTTAAAATATCTCAGTACATCACTCCTTTAAGGGATAGGTAAGAGGCAAGGTACGGATAAAGTGCGCACTCACCAGACGCGCAATGGTTATGCGTAATGTATAGTAATATGGAGGTCTGCCAGTGGGTCCCTCTCAGGATAGGAATGGAATTGAAAAGTTCATGTATTGTATCAAATGAATGATCAATTCAGCAGCAGATATTAAATAGGCAAGTGCCTTTCCTCTGCATTCCTCTTGTCTCAGGAAAGTGTCCTTCCTCTGTATTCCTCTTGTCTCAGGAAAGTGTCCTTCCTCTGCATTCCTCTTGTCTCAGGAAAGTGTCCTTCCTCTGCATTCCTCTTGTCCCAAGTAAGTGCCCTTCCTCTGTATTCCTCTTTCTGCTGCTTATCCCTTTCCTCTGCATTCCTCTTGTCCCAGGTAAGTGCCCTTCCTCTGCATTCCTCTTGTCCCAAGCAAGTGCCCTTCCTCTGCATTCCTCTTGTCTCAGGAAAGTGCCCTTCCTCTGCATTCCTCTTGTCCCAAGTAAGTGCCCTTCCTCTGCATTCCTCTTGTCCCAGGTAAGTGCCCTTCCTCTGCATTCCTCTTGTCCCAAGCAAGTGCCCTTCCTCTGCATTCCTCTTGTCCCAAGTAAGTGCCCTTCCTCTGCATTCCTCTTGTCCCAGGTAAGTGCCCTTCCTCTGCATTCCTCTTGTCCCAAGCAAGTGCCCTTCCTCTGCATTCCTCTTTCTGCTGCTTATCCCTTTCCTCTGCATTCCTCTTGTCCCAGGTAAGTGCCCTTCCTCTGCATTCCTCTTGTCCCAAGTAAGTGCCCTTCCTCTGCATTCCTCTTGTCCCAAGCAAGTGCCCTTCCTCTGCATTCCTCTTGTCTCAGGAAAGTGCCCTTCCTCTGCATTCCTCTTGTCCCAAGTAAGTGCCCTTCCTCTGCATTCCTCTTGTCCCAGGTAAGTGCCCTTCCTCTGCATTCCTCTTGCCCCAAGCAAGTGCCCTTCCTCTGCATTCCTCTTGTCCCAAGTAAGTGCCCTTCCTCTGCATTCCTCTTGCCCCTGCTTGTATCAGAAAAGTGCTTACAAGAGGCAGGACAAGCGCCAATTATCTAGCAATGATCTCCTTGCTAGCTACGTTGTTGGCTACCTGTGAGGGTGAAGCCCTGCCCATCTTCATAGCTAGGCTTACAAAGCTTGTGGAAACATGGGGCAAATTACTACATGTACTTTGTTCCCTGGAGATCAAAATGTTGAAACCGTTGACCTGAGAGTTGTTCTTTAAAAAGAAATAAAAAAAATATTCCCATGCCCCCTTCCCCCCATGGTCTAGCAGTCCTGTGTGGTGGACTGTTCCTGATGCCATCAAGCCCATAGACCAGCTCTGGGCTTGGGAATGTTGGGAACAGTCCATCGCTGGATTGTGGGGAAGTGCCATTTGCAGGTGGAGCAGGGGATCGGCTGAGTATAAGCTTTCTCCAATCCTCTAGACAAAAATGAGCTGTTGACCTGTGCATTTTTTTTTTTTGTCCGGAGTTGGGCTTTAAATAGATATGCTATAAAGTGCTAAGAGAGCGCCGGATTTCTTGCCACAAAGGGCAACTTTTAAAATGTATTGTTTCTGGCTAGTTGTATCCATGCCATTCCTGTTCAGGCTTCCCTTAGTCAAAAAATAAAAGTAGAAAGAATATAGTTGAGCTCAAGGTTGTCATGTTTCCCAACAGGGATGTATCGCTTGTGAGAATGGAGCCACTGCAAGCAACACCCCTGAGGAGAAGAAGGACACCACCGCTTTAGACGGCTCCACCAGAACAACTGAGCGACCTCCGTCACCATCCCACACACAGGAACCACAACAGACTCCTCGCCTGAGCGGTCTCTGTGATTCGGGGAAAGCCTCAAACTCCTGACTATTTTTGTAAAATACTTTTTCTATAAAACTTTATTTAAAGTCCGTTCTTCATCTCACAATGGAACAGGAAGCTTCACGTTCTTTCTTGGACCTTTACAAAGCTGTGGAAGAAGCAGAACACCCCTCCACCCCACCCCAAAGTGTTCAGTTTTTGGGACTTTCTGTTTTTTTTTTTTCTAATAGCAACTTTGTGCCAAGACACTATACTGCCCACTTTGCAGCTGCCAGATGTTTATTTTTTTTTTTTCTCCACCCCATCGACTCGGCTGTTACATATCCCAGCACCCCCTACGCCGCACTGACTTTTGGAAAGTTCACCATCGAATCGCCAAACATCCAGACTGTTGCAGATGTTTTTCGGATCTCGGTCTCTTTCCTTGTGCACCTTGTTTATACCTGTCCTGTTTGTAAATATTATTGACATTAAAGGAGTACTGGAACGGCGTGGTTTTATCGAGAGGCTTTTTTTTAATTATTTGTAAATTGTCATGATGATGAAATGACCTTATAGGAATAAATTTTGTTTTTCCTTGTACCTTGTTATGTTCCGAAACTGGTATGAATGGGCAGCATATTGTTGTTCTAGGGCAAAATTTTAAATAATCAAATTTTTTTTTCTTTGCAGCCTCAGATGAAGACAGACACAGTTTTTGTTTTATCCAGCTGTATTTATTCAGTGCAACTTTTAACATCCAAGTGAAAGATATAACACCAACATTTGGAAAAAGTAACACCCCCCCCCCCCTCCTAAAAATGACTCAATCAGGTGTAGCTAATCACCATCTCAATAGCACACAAAGCCTTTTTGCTTTCAACTCCTAGATTGTAAGCTCCCAGGATCAGGGCCCTCCTATCCCTCTTGTATTGCTGTATTATCTCCCGTTATCAGGGTCGGACTGACAACTCATGGGGCCCCTGGGCAATAGGGGATCATGGGGCCCCTGTGTCCTTGCCCAAACTCAAAAAAGCCTATGAAAAAGGTACCAGGGGCATCTCATGGGGCCCCCTACTGACCCCGGGCCCTCGGGCAGTGCCCGAGTTTCCTAATGGTCAGTCCGCCCCGTTATATTGTAAAGCTCTGAGCAAACTGTTGGTGCTATATAAATCCTGCATAATAATAATAATAATTGTGATCAGCTGGGGTCATTTTGATTAGCTCAGCATGAAGAGAGCTTTCCTGGAGCATTTCAGTCCCTGGTAGTGCAACTGAAGCAAACAAACTATAGGTGGCAAGGCACCGTCTCCGGGATAAAGTTGTGGACAGTCACGAGTCAGGAGATGGATACAAAAACATTTCAAAGGTTTTTTTAATGCCTAGAAGCAGAGTGAAGTCTATTGTTAAAAAGTGAAAGGTATTTGGTACAACACAGAGCCTCCTTGGTCATGACGTCGCTCCAACCTGGATGAAAGAGCCAGGAGGAAACTGTCAGAGAGGCTACCAAGAGGCCTCCAGCAACTCTGAAGCCGTAAATGATGGCAAAGAGTGGTCATTGTGTGCATGTGACACCAATATCATGAATCCTCCACAAACGTGGCTTGTATGGGAGGGGTGCAAGGAAAAAGCCGCTCCTCAAGAAAGGCCACATGCCGTCACCGCTGAGCTTTGCCATGACGCACCTGGAAAATTCTGAGGCCACATAGAAGAAGGTGTTCTGGTCAGATGACACGAAAATGGAATGATTTGGCCTCCACACTAAATGATATGTCTGGTGGAGATCCAATCCAGCTCACCATCCAAATCCCACCATTCCTACCGTAGAGCATGGAGGAGGGAATATCCTGTTATGGGGGGTGGGGATATCCTGTTATGGGGGGGGGGGGGGAATATCCTGTTATGGGGGGGTTCTCTGCAACACGGACTGGCGCACTTGTCAGGATAGAAGGAAAAATGGATGGGGCAAAATCCCGTCACATTCTGGAGGAAAATATTCTACCTTCTGCCAGAAAGTTGTCAATGGCAAGAAGGTTTATTTATTTATTTTTTATTTATTTCAGGTACTTATATAGCACCATCACCACTAGGGTGACGACAGTGCAGTGAGTGAGTGTTGTCACCCTAGGACCCTGATGCCCAAGCTGCAGTCCGAGGGCCAAATGCAGCCCTCTGGTACTTTGTGTGGCCCTTAGATCCTAGCAGCCCGTAGTGGAAGCATTGAATTTATTATTTATTTATTTCAGGTACTTATATAGCGCCGTCAGTTTCCGCAGAGCTTTATATATATATTATACATTCACATCAGTCCATAACAGGGGCGGACTGACCATTTGTGCACTCGGGCACTGCCCGAGGGCCCAGGGTCAGTAGGGGGCCCCATGAGATGCCCCTAGTACCTTTCATAGGCTATTTTGGGTGTGGGTGAGGACACAGGGGCCCCATGATCCCCTATTGCCCGGGGGCCCCATGAGTTGTCAGTCCCGCCTCTGGTCCCTAACCCTCAAGGGGCGTACAATCTACGGTTTACCTTCCAACATGACAATGAGCCAAAGCACATGGCGACAATGACCTCATAGTGGTTGGAGGAGGAGAAGAAGGTGAATGTCCTTGCATGGCCCAGACTCGAACCCCATTAAAATTCTGTGGAATCACTGCAGGCCACAAACGGTCACCATCAAATTGAACTGAACTCAAGTAGTTCTGCAAAGAAGAGCAAGCAAATATTACAAAGTCTAGATGTGCAAAGTTAGTAGAGACCTATCCCAATAGACTAAAAGCTAGAATTAAAAGGGGGTTCAACAAAATATTGACACGGGGGGGGGGGGCCTGTTTCCAACTCGGATTCTGTTTTACAAAAAAAAGTTTTCATTTCTGAAATGCTGATGTTTTATCTTTCACTTGGATGTAATAAGTTGCACAGCTGGATAAAAACAAAAACTGTGTCTGTCTTCATTTCAGGCTGCAAAGCAACAAAAATGTGATTAATTTTAAAGGGAGGTGATTCTTTTCTATACATTGCAAGGATTGTAACAACCTTTGTTGAAGATTTCCACCTTTTTGTTGTTCTTCAGAAGTAGCTGTTTATCTGTGTCCGTGTGCAAAGTGGTTCTGATTGGAGCGACTTTATATTGATCAGTCAGCAGCTGCACTTACAGGGTTCTAATGAGGAAAGTGGCAGAGTCTGCATCTCTTTTTCGGTGAGATTTTCCTTTTGGGTGTATCTCACCAAAATTACATTTTTGTTGCAGGGGATGCCCAAAATCTGACTTGTATCTTAGTGCAGACTTCTGGGAATATCAGTGAGCCAATCGCACAAGCAGGAAATGACCTTTCTGGGGGCGTTCCTTACAGCATCTCTGTCCTGAATACCTCCAGGCGGCCATATTGTATTTTACAGAAATGACAGCGGCTGCAGATTGAAAAGGAGAGGCGGCTTTGAATAACATTCAGTTACAGTATGACGTGTGTAGTAATTGTATATGCTAAATTCATTTTTTTTTTATTTGCTGTTTTTCCCCCACAAAGGTGGAGCTGTCCTTTAACCTCTTCACGCCGGCCGCACGCAAATGTGCGGCCGCCCGGCGTCTCGGCCTAGACGCCGAGCGGCCCGCACATTTGCGTTCTATTAAAAAAAGACGCGCTGAGACCGCGCGCCCTGCGTGCTCCCAGCACACGTCCGGTACTCACGGAAAGGTCCCGATCTCCTCTTTCGATCGGGACCTTTCCCGATCATGTGACCGCCGTGAGGTCGTGTCACTGCGGTCACATGACCCTAAACCCCACCTCATCTCCCGGCGTCAGAAACCCCTTAAAGGGCCGGGAGGCGCCAACGTGAAAGGGTTAAGCTAAACTCCAGACAGAGGGCTTAATACACAGATGGAATACATATGAGACCATTGGTATCAGGAAATAGAGGGGCTGGGGGCAGAGAGAGAGAGGCCTCCTGCTACGCAGTGCCATTGCCCTTTCCACTGCACCTCATTAGTTGTTTCCGTGGTGCAGGGGCGTGGACCAGGATCATTCCTTGCTATTTGTGAAAGAGGAGGCTATGTTGTGATGAGGGAATGGGGGGACCTTGTCGTCGTCGGTCCCCCCCCCCCGTCAAAGGTTTTATATTTCTGTCCATCCATTCACAAGGTTTACACAGCTCTTCCACACACTACAGTCCCATCGAGTAGGGAAGGGGACCTGATCTTTTTATGCTGCGGTTGCACTTTCACTTACAGGCCTCCTCATCACCCCCTACCCGTGTGATTGGACAGTGAAAGGAGAAGAAGCACAACAATGAGCTCATCTCCATCACTCTGATCTCTTCTCCTACCAGCCTGCTTCTTGCACTGCAGCACACCTGATGCCCTTGGGTGCTTCTCCCTCTCTCGGTCTGAGCTCTGCTGTACACAAGATCTGCAAAAGGCTGACTCCAAATCTAACACGAGTACTTAAACTGCCCGCATTTAAAAAAATGACTCGATTTATCAGTGATTACAGAGCTGCACTAATGTGTGCCTTTTATCTGTCTAGGGATCCGCTCTAAACCTGGATATTATTTAAAATGGGTAATGTCATGCTTAGGATAAGTACACAAAGCCATCCCTTTTGTTTTTTTTTTTTTTTTATTTTAGTTTTAATCGGAATTAAAGAAGATCTAAAGTCTCAAGGCTTTTTTACCTTCATGTATGTATGAAGGTAGAAACCTGTGTTCTGTGGACCACCCAGCCCCCCCAATACTCACCTAAGCCACCCCAATACTCACCTAAGCCCCCCTCTCTCAATCCAGCGATGTGCACTGGAGTCTCAGCTATCCCGGGACTCCCTCTTCTCATTCGCTCAGACAGAAGCGGGACCATTGGCTCCAATTGCTGTCAGTCAGTGAGCCAATAAGAAGAAAGAGGGGGCAAGGCTGAGCCACGGCTCCGTGTGTGATTGGACACACGGAGCAGCAGGTGCCCCCATAGCAAGCTGCTTGCTGTGACGGCACCCGACAGGGAGGGAGGGGCCAGGAGAGCCTGCGGGGGGGGGGCGAGAAGAGAAGGGACCCCAGAAGAGGAGGATCAGGGCTGCTC